TTTTACCAAACACTTAAGACCACATTACAAGATTCCAAAAAGCTACGCCAAAGTCTCCTTCACATATACTGTAGAACTTATTTTCTATATCTACTGTATAAGATGCTATGGTATTGCAAATTAAAAACAAAAACTAAATGAGTAATCAAATACTTAAGCCCTTTTGGCCCACCTAGTAAATGTGAATGTCATTCTACTTCTAATGATAAAATTACCTTATGACTAACAACAACTATCAGCAATTACAACATGGCAAATCTTTCAGTCAAACAAATCATCACAGGTCACAAGTAAAATAAAACTTGCAAATCAGGTGTAAGGGAAAGGTAGAATTAGTACTAGTGTATTAGTAGGGAGAATTTAAAGCTACTAAAAATAGCTTTTCATGAAACTACTAAACATAAGTTTTATTTATATGTTCCTTTTATAAAGATGCCAAACTTTATATAACTGCTTATCCCTAAAATGTATATTTAAGTCAATACATGAGCCAATATGAATGTTTAATTTTAATGTATTGACTTAAAATACACATTTTAGGGATAAGCAGCAATATAAAGTTTGTCAATTCATTAGAAAGAACATATTAAAACAAATATTATTCTTAGTAGTTTCTCAACAAAGTTCACATTTTCTGTACAACAATACAATTATTATATGAAATATATATCAGTATTTATACAAGGATGTGGAGCCATTTATCTAAAGCATATGAAACACAGAGTACACGTGTAATTAGGTGTGAAAATGTGTATTTACCACAATAGTGCAAAATTTAAATGTCAACATAAAGGGATTTTTTCCATTTCAAGAATGAAGTGGCAATAAAATTTTGTCTTTTCAGCAACCACATCCCATAACTAGAAAACAAACTCTCCAGCTTACAACACGCACAGTGAGTTACTCTCAGGTGAACCATGTTACCACCACATTAAGTTAATTTGGTTGCAAGCAGGCATGTAGCCGGATTCTCATGGTGGTTCGAGAAAAGGCCTTACTGGTGCATTATTTAAACTGTTATGTTTATTCATATCATGATCTGATCACCATCCTCAATATATCCCATATGCATGGGGGTATTGGGGTAACAATACAAAAGGTTTGCTAGGGTAGACCCCCTTTCACTCAGACTCAGCCCCCCCTGAAACCCACCCCCCCCCCCCCCCCGAAATGAAATCCTGGCTACGGGCCTGGTTGCAAGGTGCTCTTTTTAGGGCCCTTCCATACAGCCATGTGAGAACCCAGAATATCAAGGCAGAATAACCTACAATATCTGCTTTGAACTGGGTTATCTGAGTCCAGACTGCCATACATCCCAGTTCAAAGCAGATAATGTGGGATTTTATTCAGCTGTGTAGAAGGGGCCTTAGAAAAAAAAAACAGAACCAGTCAAAACAGTTTCTGAAACAAAGTTCATTAGTTATTCTCACCTCTGTGTTTTATCACTTTCTCTCATGGCTTCCCCCCCCCCCCCCCCCCAGCCAAGAGAAATGGTAAAAACCAGTCCACTATACAAGAGCATTTAGCTGATTCTTAGAAGTGAGTTTTCTTCAGGGTAAATTCTGAGAATTATGAACTCCTGGGTTACAGAATTCAGAATGTTACAACACAGAGACACCTGAGGCCATAAACACTTTTCCAAGTCCCCACAGTTCCAATATGGGCAAAGCTGCAAGTTAGTCGCTGCTCCAAATGAGCCAATAAAAACACTTCTCCCCCTCTTTTAAAAGTGCATACATACACAAAATCCAACTTGTGGCAGGCAATGCTGAGGTAAACACCATGTGATAACTCTTTTAACTTGGGAGGTGTTAGGTTTAATGTTATTTTCATATGTGAGATTTCTCTGGGATTTTATGTCAGCAGTTGTTTGTTTTACAAAGGCATTGAATGTTTGCCGTTGTTATGTTGGAATCCACCCTTAGTACCCTTGGGGAAATAGGGTGGAATACAAATAAATTTATTATTATTTTATTGACATTATTATTATTACTATTATTATTATTATTATTATTATTAATATTATTATAGGTAGGGAATTGAGGCAACATTTAATCCTAGCTTTTCAAGACAAGGCAGTTGGGAGTCCTTAAGTCTTAAAGGAGAGAGTCCTAAAGTCCTTTTAAGGACTCTTTCCTTGAAAAGCAAGAATTAAATATTGCCTTGATCCTGATCCCACCCTCACCTCCCAAGTTAAAGAGTCAGGTGGAGGATAGGGAGGCATTCCTGGAAGAGACAATGTTGGAATTCGCCCTGAGTCCCCTCTGGGAGACAGGACAGAATACAAATGAAAGTTTTATTGTTATTATTATAGGTGAGGAACTGAGGCAACATTTAATCTTACCTTTCCAAGACAAGGCAGGGGGAAGTTCTTAAAAGTCTTAAAGGAGAGAGCCCAAAGTCCTTTAAGGACTCCTTCCTACCTTGCCTTGAAAAGCAAGGATTAAATATTACTTGATCCCCACACTTCCCAAGTTAAAGAGTCAGGTGGAGGATAGGGAGGCATTCCTAGAAGAGACAATATTGGAATCCGCCTTGAGTCCCCTCGGAGAGTCAGGACAGAATACAAATTAAGTATTATTATTATTATCATCATCATCACCATCATCATTATAGGTGGGGAACTGAGGCAACATTTAATCTTAGCTTTCCAAGACAAGGCAGGAGGGAGTTCTTAAAGTCTTAAAGGAGAGAGTCCTTTTAAGGACGCTTTCCTACCTTGCCTTGAAAAGCAAGAATTAAATATTGCCTTGATCCTGATCCCACCCTCACCTCCCAAGTTAAAGAGTCAGGTGGAGGATAGGGAGGCATTCCTGGAAGAGACAATGTTGGAATCCGCCTTGAGTCCCCTCTGGGAGACAGGACAGAATACAAATGAAAGTTTTATTGTTGCTATTATCATCATCATCATTATTATTATTATAGGTGGGGAACTGAAGCAACATTTAATCTTAGCTTTTCAAGACAAGGCAGTTGGGAGTCCTTAAGTCTTAAAGGAGAGAGTCCTAAAGTCCTTTTAAGGACTCTTTCCTTGAAAAGCAAGAATTAAATATTGCCTTGATCCTGATCTCACCCTCACCTCCCAAGTTAAAGAGTCAGGTGGAGGATAGAGATGCAATCCTGGAAGAGACAATGTTGGAATCCGCCCTGAGTCCCCTCTGGGAGACAGGGCGGAATACAAATAAAGTTTTATTGTTATTATTATAGGTGAGGCATCAAGACAACATTTAATCCTAGCTTTCCAAGACAAGGCAGGAGGAAGTCCTTAAAAGTCTTAAAGGAGAGAGTCCTAAAGTCTTTTTAAGGACTCTTTCTTGCCTTGCCTTGAAAAGCAAGAATTAAATATTGCCTTGATCCTGATCTCACCCTCACCTCCCAAGTTAAAGAGTCAGGTGGACGATAGAGATGCAATCCTGGAAGAGACAATGTTGGAATCCGCCCTGAGTCCCCTCTGGGAGACAGGGCGGAATACAAATAAAGTTTTATTGTTATTATTATAGGTGAGGCATCAAGACAACATTTAATCCTAGCTTTCCAAGACAACGCAGGAGGAAGTCCTTAAAAGTCTTAAAGGAGAGAGTCCTAAAGTCTTTTTAAGGACACTTTCTTACCTTGCCCTGACTCTTTAACTTGGGAGGTGATGGTGGGATCAGGATCAAGGAAATATTTAATTCTTGCTTTTCAAAACAAGGCAGGAGGGAGTTCTTAAAGTCTTAAAGGAGAGAGTCCTAAAGTCTTTTTAGGGATGCTTTCTTACCTTGCCTTGAAAAGCAAGAATTAAATATTGCCTTGATCCTGATCCCACCCTCACCTTCCAAGTTAAAGAGTCAGGTGGAGGATAGAGAGGCATTCCTGGAAGAGACAATGTTGGAATCCGCCCTGAGTCCCCTCTGGGAGACAGGGCGGAATACAAATAAAGTTTTATTATTATTAAAGGTGAGGCATCAAGACAACATTTAATCCTAGCTTTCCAAGACAAGGCAGGAGGAAGTCCTTAAAAGTCTTAAAGGAGAGAATCCCAAAGTCCCTTAAGGACTCCTTCCTACTTTGCCCTGAAAAGGAAGGATTAAATATTGCTTGATCCCCACACTTCCCAAGTTAAAAGAGTCAGATGGAGGACAGGGAGGCATTCCTAGAAGAGAGAATATTGGAATCCGCCTTGAGTCCCCTTGGGGAGACAGGGCAGGATACAAATAAAGTTTTTATCATCATCATCATCATCATCATCATTGGTGGGGAATTGAGGAACAATTTAATCCTACCTTTTCAAGACAAGGCAGGAGGAAGTCCTTCAAAGTCTTAAAGGAGAGAGTCCTAAAGTCTTTTTAAGGACTCTTTCTTACCTTGCCTTGAAAAGCAAGAATTAAATGTTGCCTTGATCCTGATCCCACCCTCACCTTCCAAGTTAAAGAGTCAGGTGGAGAATAGGGAGGCATTCCTGGAAGAAGAGACAAGCACCCCAAAACCTTGAGCTGGAGGAGGAGAAATTCACTGAAGTAGGATTGCAAGCTTCTTCTTTTTCCTGTGTCTCAAGGAAGAGGGAGGAAAGTCTCCAACTGAGGCTCAGGGACCCCCTTTTCCCCTTGAGGGGATTGTCAGCAGCAATCACAGAAAGTTAGAGACAGAGAGGGAGGGAGACCCAGAGGCACCCTTCCAACCCATAGTCATACCCCTCCATGTCTTAGATACCTGAGAGGAAGGGGAAAGGGGGTGTCGGCCCACTGGGCTCCCTCCCAACCAAAAAGGTCCCCCATTTTACCTCAAGGCACCCCCACAGGTTCACCCCCCGCGCCTCAGCCGCCACCCAGGAGGTGGAGGGGGTGCCTCAGGAGCACCTCCTCCTTCCTTCCCCTTCTGCTCCTTCCACCCACCACCCTCTTTGGCCCAAAGGCAGGCAGAAGAGAGGGAGGGGGGGAGAGAGAGGGAGGGAGGGAGGCCTCGGTGGTGGGTCTGAAGGGAAGGCGGCGAGGAGAGGAGAAGGAGGAGGAGAAGACACTGACCTGGCTGGGAGAGGAGGAGGAGGAGGAAGCAGAAGCAGCAGCGAGGACGGCGCCGGCCACGCGGGTGGGTGGGTGACTGAGAGGGAGAGAGGGAGAGCCCGCTTCCCCCTCACACTCGGAGGGAGGGGGCAATTCCGGAAGGGGAGATGTATTCCCCCCTTTTTTCCTTTAATTCTTCCTGTCCCGAAATAAATAAATAACCATCCTTCAAGACCCCGAAGAAGGTGAAGGGAAGGGGGAGAAATTATTCCGGTCGGGAGTTAGTACAACAAAGAGGCGGAAATAGCCGAGCGGAGCCGAGCGCGCCCGAGCGGGGGCGCCGCGAGCCCCGGAGCATGCGCGGTGGGGACAAGCCGAGCCAACCCGGCCTCCTCTTCCTCCTCCCTCTCCCCCTCCTCCCCTTTTTCAGCCCTCTCCCCACCATCACCTCAGGGAGAGAGAGAGAGAGAGAGAGAGAGATTGAGATGGAGGGAGGAGGTGCCTAACTGGGGCAGTTGACGTCCAGAAAGGGGCAAAAGTCCCCAGGAAGGAAAGACAGAAAGGCGTCCTCTGCCCGGCCCCCTCCCTCGTCGCGCGCGCACACTCACTCACTCACGCGCGCACACCCCTCTCGCGCCCCCTCCGTTCCCAAGGCAACGGCCCGCAGCTCCTGGCCCAGGTGCCTCTCCCAACAGTCTCCCCACGCGCCCTCTCCGAGAGGGTCTCACCAATGGCTGAGCCTGAGGCCTCTGCTGACCCCCGCGACCTTGTCAGCCCTCGCGCTGGCCCCAGGGAAGGCTTACGGGTGAGGGGGAAAGCTCCTCCTCAGGAAATCACCCTCCTGCTCACTTATTTACCCCAAGGTGGTCCATGAAATCAGCAAGGTGGGATTTCAGGTATTCACATATAGCTTGGGTACCACGTCTAGAGAAATGGGTTCGCATGTTCAGGTGGAACTTGCTCACCCTGAGAGGTGTTCAACAGTGGAACTCACTGTAGAGACATGGATGACCTTGGCCTCACAACACAAGCAAAAGACTTTGAAACAGTTGAAACCTTAAAACCTGGCTCTTCTAGGGACCACCAACGCAGCATTGCCCAAACACGAATCAAGGAATATGAAAGGCACTGCAGACTACTTCAACCAGAGAAGTCAGCCATAGCAGAGCACCTGATGAACCAGCCTGGACACCGCAGATTATTTGAGAACACAGAAATGCTGGACCATGCTCACAACCAGACTACACAGAGAAGCCATTGAAATCCACAAGCATGTGATGTGGACAATTTCAACAGAAAGGTGGAAACCATGAAAATAACAAAATCTGGCTACCAGTATTAAAAAACTCTAAAATTACAACAACAAAACAGCAGAGAGGAAACAACCAGGCACATCTTTTTTTTTTTTGCTGTAGTTTTTTATTGAGCAGTTTTCATCATTACATACATTCATACATACATTATTGATTTCACATTATGTGAAACCAGGCACATCTTAACACCTCTCAACAGAACATTTTCCCAGGCTCAGCCAGGCCTTCAAATGCTAATGAAGGTGGTCAGCTGAAACATTCACACCTAGCTTCAGCAGAGAGCTCTTTGCCCCACCCCAGTCATTCCACAGATATATAAACCCATTTTCCTATTTCCAACAGACCTCACTACCTCTGAGGATGCTTGCCATAGATGCAGGCGAAACGTCAGGAGAAATGCCTCTAGAACATGGCCCTATAGCCCGAAAAAACCTACAAGAACCTATTGATTCCAGCCATGAAAGCCTTCGACAATACCTGGCTCTTCTGCTGTGCCTTTGGTGAGTAGGTGCACACCATGACATTTTGCACCACCCAATGTTTTCTGCTCCTGGATTGCGCACCCTCCAAATGGGAAGTTTAGCCTAACAACTCTGTGTTTGAGTTCCCCGTAAATGTCCTGCTCCTATTTTATCTCATGCCTACCTGCGTGACCGCATCTCCATCTACGAACCCACGCGTTCCCTATGTTCATCCGGAGAGACCCTGCTCGCGATCCCACCTGCGTTGGTGGGGACGAAGGACAGGGCCTTTTCTGTGGTTTCCCCTCGACTTTGGAACACCCCCCCCCCCCCAAAGACATCAGACTAGCACCCACGTTAGCAGTCTTTAGGAAGAGCTTGAAGACCTGGCTATTCCGATGTGCCTTTCTGGAATAGGAAAACTCCAGCATTATGTCCCAGAAGCACTTCATTAGAATTTTAAGATTCTCTGCACATTGCACTTGCCCTGAAATCCAACATACCACCTGTCACACCCAGCACTTTTTAACTCTGTACCCATTACTTGGCCCGGCCCTAGTTTTTACTGTGTTACGGTGTAATGTTTTGTTATTGCTTTATGTTTTTTGATTTTGCTTTGAGTAGTTTTGTTATGCTGTTGTTGTGTTGAGGCCTTGGCTTTTGTAAGCCGCATCGAGTCCTTCGGGAGATGCTAGCGGGATACAAATAAAATTTAATAATAATAATAATTTTTACAGCCTTTTAATTGTTTTATCTTGTATATGCGGCCCGCCCATTGTTACCGTTACTGTGATTGTCTTTATTAGAACATTATTTTATTATTGCCTTTTTTTCTTCTCTTATGTAATTTTGATGATGTTGTAGTTGTTTGTTGTTTATGTTTTGATTTTATTGCTGTAATATGTTGTCCGGGCTTGGCCACTCTGAGTCCCCACCGGGGAGATGGTGGTGGGGTATAAATAAAGTTGTTTATTATTATTATTATTATTATTATAAGGTAATAGTATGAAAGCAGTGTCTGGAAGCTCTGAGCCTTACGCTCTGCGCTTCGCTCCTTCTGGAGCACTGTTCGCGCAACGCAGAACAGAACACAGATATTATTTTAATGGTAAAACCCTAACCCGAACCCTAAGCCTTACCCTAAACCTAATCCTTAACCCTAATACTAACCCTAATCTTACCCTAAACCTTATCCTAACCCCTAAGTCTAATTCTAACCCTAATCCTAACCCTTACCCTACCCCAAACTCTAAACCTTACCCTAAACTTTATCCTAACCCTCCCCGCCTTTCTATCCTTCCACCAAGTTGAAGTATATTCCCGCCCACAGTGTGCCGCTCTCCCCTTCCCTTATACACAACCACCGTCGCCAATGTGCATAACGCTCGGAGCTTCCGGACCCAGCTATCATTCTATTACCCAGTTGAAATCCAACTTACCAATGCCTTGAAACAGGCCCATAGCCAAGATTTTGACTCGGGTGGCGGGGGGATTTGATTTGGGCGGGGGGCTGAGGATCTACCCTAGCAAACCTTTTGTATCGTTATCTCAATACCATAAGGGATTTATTTATTTATTTATTTATTTATTGACTGCATTTATATACCATCCCTCTCAGCCCGCAGGCAACTCGGGATGGTTTACAGTTGGCAAACCATCCTGAGCATGGTGATCAGATCATGATATTAATTAACATAACAGTTTAAATAATGTACCAGTAAGGGCTTCTCGTGGACCACCCTGAGAATTTCGGGGGGGGGCTCAAGCCCGCACCCCACCCCACCCTCAGCTACATGCCTGCCTTGAAAGATCTCTCCAGCTATTACAAAGATAACCACTTGAACCCTAACCCTACCAAGACTCAAGTCTGTGCTTTCCATCTACGCAACCGTGAAGCCAACAGGAAATTGAAAGTCACCTGGGAAGGTCAAGAGCTTGAACATTGCTTCCACCCTAAATATCTCGGTGTCACCTTAGATCGAATACTAGCATATAGGAAACACTGCTTGAACACCAAGCACAAAGTAATTGCACACAATAACATCCTGCGAAAACTTATTGGCAGCACATGGGGTGAAGACCCAAAATTAAGAAGAACATCAGCCCTGGCCTTGTCTTACTCAACTGCCGAGTATGCCTGCCCTGTTTGGCATAGGTCTGCCCATGCAAAGCAGGTGAACATAACATTGAATGAAACATGCAGAATAATCACTGGATGTCTTAAACCTACACCTGTTGATAAACTCTACAAGCTAGCTGGCATTGCCCCCCCCCCCCCCCCCCCCCCCCCCCCGGATGTGCGACGGGAAGTTGCTGCTAAATGTGAGAGAAATAAGGTTGAACACTGTGAAAGCCATCCACTGCATGGCTACCATCCTCCTCCCAGTAGACTCAAATCAAGGAAAAGCTTTTTGAGAACTACGACTCCTCTTGGCGTCCCCCCAGCAACAACAAGAGTATCCCTCTGGGCAGCTAAATCATAACATCCCAAGTGGATAGCCCCCCACAAGGGTCTTCCTCCAGGGGCAAACCAAGAATGGGCAACTTGGAAGTCCCTGAACAGACTCAGAAGTGGAGTGGGCAGATCAAAAGACAACCTGGCAAAATGGCACTACCTAAAAGAATCCCAAACCTTGTGTGACTGGAGCAGAACAGACAACTCCGCATCTGTATGCTTGTCCACTGTGCCCTGCCTCATCTACAGAGGAGGAATTGTTGGAGACCACAGACAATGCCATTGCTGTTGCCCGTTTTTGGTCAAAAGATATTTAGCTGCCTGCACACCTTCTATTTTTATCAGTTTTATACTAATTTATGCTATGTTTTTGATACGAAATAAATAAATGATTTTAGAGACATGCCACCTTATCACAGGATGTCTATGCTCTCAATCCCCTCCCAGCCCAGACAATTAGGGAGTATGTTACATCGACAAAAACCACAGCTTGAAACTCTCTGAAACAACAAATCTTTACTAATCTCTCTGAAACTTTTTGGAGGCATCTGTTTTGATTTTTCAAGCTTCAGAGGAGTCCCGGTATGATTAGTTATTCAGTATCAACAAATCATACAAATCTCTGAATTATGAAGTTTTGCACAGCCCTAGTGGTCAACACAAGTCCCTATGACACTTGTAATCAAATACATAAGTGACAATCTACATCGTTATATTGTGCTGCAGAGGGGCAAGGTAAATGAGCCTTTAGGGTTAAGCTATGATTATATTCAAATATGGTCATGCGCTATAACATCATAGTACTATTAGTCTTCTTTCCATGCTGTATCTCCAAGACCGTTAGTATAACTCAACTGTATAAGTACAACTATTAATTCTGTGAACAATTGTGTTGACTCTGAGCATGCAAACAATGATGAACTTTTGAATAATGTATTATGTTATTTCTTTTCAAAGATCTTTTGGTTTATTGCTACTGTTGCAGAACAAATCCAGAAGTCTGGTGGACTGGTTTAATATTACTGATGTCTATGCCCTACACCACTTGAGAAAGTATACTGTTTAGCCGGTATTGCACCGCCTGACATCTGCCAGGAAGAAGCAGCCAATAATGAAAGG